GAATAGAATAGAATAGAATAGAATAGAATAGAATAGAATAGAATAGAATAGAATAGAATAGAATACCTTATGACTGACTGAAAACCCCTTATAGACTTTTTGCATGACACACAGAAAGAAAAAATTCAGCTATGATTTGTGGGTCTGATGGTTGGGGGGACGGGATATCAGATAGTAGAAAAATAAGTGTGAATTTTCTTTTTGTTACTCTCGGAAGAGATAAGTTTGTAATTGCAGTTGCTGCCAAGAAAAGTAGAATAACAAAGTTGGAGGGGACCTTGGAGGTCTTCTAGTCTAACCCCCTGCCTAGGCAGGAAACCCTGTACCATTTCAGACCAATGGTCATCCAATCTCTTCTTTAAAAGTTCCAGTGTTGGAGCATTGACAACTTCTGGAGGCAAATTGATCCACTGGTCAATTATTCTAACTGTCAGAAAATTTATCCTTAGTTCTAAGTTGCTTCTCTCCTTGATGAGTTTCCATCCATTATTCGTTGTCTGGCCTACAGGTGCTTTAGAAAATAGCTTGCTACTCTCCTCTCTGGGGCAGCCCTTCAAATACTGGAAGACTTCCATCCTGTCTTCCCTGGTCCTTCTCTTCCCTAGACTAGCCAGGCCCAGTTCCTGCAACCTTTCACCGGACATTTTAGCCTCCAGTCCTCTCACCATCCTGGTTGCTCTTCTCTGCACTTTTTCTAGAGTCTCAACATCTTTTTTATAGTGTGGCGACCAAAACTGGATGCCGTATTCCAAGTGTGGCCTTACCAAGGCCTTATAAAGTGGTATTATGAACACTTCACGTGGTCTTGATTCTATCCCTCTGTTTATGCAGCCCAGAACCGTGTTGGCTTTTTTGGCAGCAGCTGCACACGGCCGGCTCCTATTTAAATGGTTGTCCTCTAGGACTCCGAGATCCCTCTCACAGTTGAGTGAGGTACCACATATACTGTCCCTGTGCGTTTTGTTTTTCCTGCCTCAATGCAGAACCTTACTTTTTTTTTTCTTTTTCTTTTACTTTTGTAAGCGAATCTGGCTTCTCTGGTGACTTTGCTAGTCAGAAGGTTGCAAAAAATGATTGATATATGTGACGCGGGACAGCGCAATAACTCTGAACCTGTTTTCAAGCATCCGAATTTTGATCACATGCCCATAAGGATGCTATAATGGTTGTAAATGTGAACAGTGGCCATAATTCCACTTTTTCCCGTGCCGTTGTAATTTCAGATGGTCAGTAAAGAAATAGTTGTAATAACAAAACTGCCTGTATAACAAAATGGGCTAAAAAGTTTTTTTGGCTGCAATGTACAAATGGAATCAATGGGAAAATATGTGGTTGAAAGAACTGATATTTATATTAAGTTCCAATCCTAAAGATAATTTTTTAATTAAATGATATGCCATGGTACATGATGGCAGAACGGTCTAGAATGTATAAAGATACTTCAGATTTATGCTGGAGATATGGACAATCTAAAGGGACATTTTGTCATGTTTTGTGGACATGTAAAAAAAAGTTAAAAAAAAAACAAAAGAAAGAAAATTGGATGCAAATACATGCATAAATTCAGAAGAGTTTAAAATACAATTAAAACCCGAAGCTGCTCTTTTGGGATTAACAGACAAGACAGTTTGAAATAAATCACGGAGGCTTCATTTTATATATGACAACTGCGGCGAGATTATTATATCCTCAAAAGTGGAGAGGTTTGACACTATCCACAATGGAGGAGTGATTGGTGACGATGATGGAACTTGCAAAGAAATCTCAATTGACTTCCTTGATTAAAGAAATGACAATATCTACATTTATGACTGGCTGGAAACCCCTTATAGACTTTTTGCATGACACACGGCGAAAAAAAAAATCCAGCTATGATTTGTGGGTCTGATGGTTACGGGGTGGGGAAATCGTGCAGTGGAAAAATAAGTGAGGATTTCCTTTTTGTAACTCTAGGAAGAGATAACTTTGTAATTGCAGTTGCCGCCAAGAAAATTAGAAGCCTTTCTTTCTATTATTTTTTTTCCTGAAGATTTACCATTCCTTTTCTTTTTTCCTTTTTTACTTTCTTTCTTGA